GTTGAAGATAAAAGGCAGTGGAGAAGAGATAGAAAAACCAAAAAGGTAAAAGAAAGGCAGTGTTGTTCAGACGAGTGGCCTTTTACAATAATGAATACAAATGTGTTGTTTTTTGTCATGTCATTATTTGTCACTGTTAAACAAAACTAGGAATTCAGTTCATTTAAAGACAAACCCTATACTAATATTTAGTATTTGGCTATCAGAACAGTTGGTTTAACTCATATTGCAGTTTATATACAGTATATATTCACTGACATAATGATTTTATTATTGATATTGCATTTTCACCTTTGCATTTTTTACGACAGGGATTGGACAAAGCTACCCTGTTGTTTTTAAAATGTCATTCCGTTCCGTTTTTTCATCAGTGGACCAAAGCAAACAGCATTTCTGAGTGACTAGAGTTCTGATTTATGAAGGAATGGCCACGGGGTTTAAAAGCTCATTAACCCATCGAAAGCATGAATAAGCAAACTCCTCTCTTTAATGCAATTTTGGATCCCACCTGAGGTACGAGGGATCCCTGCAGTTTGCCTACCGACTGGAAAACAATTTGCGTGGCCAAAAAAAAAAAAAAAATCCATCCATCCAAGGCAGCTGGTTATAATGGGCGAGATGTTTTGTGTGGTTAAGGTCGGGGTCAGGGTCTACACATCTACACAAAGTATTACCATTCACTCGCACACACGTAGACACACAAGCAGTCCGAGCCAATTTGATAGGAGAAAAGTGCTTCAGGCATTATGGGTTAAGGCCTCTTCTTAAACCCCAGGGAAATCACAGCCAAACAATGTGGAGAGATGCACCGTGACTGATGATACTGATGTGAAATAACTCCCACAGAGTGGGACAGAAAGAGAGCAGAGAGAGCAAAAATAATAGAAAAGGGAATGAAGCCACTAATAGAGATAGACATTTAGTTAAATAGTGTGAAAAATGACTTTGGAGAGAAACAAGCTAATTTTGTTGGCTCTCCCTATTTTCTGCCCTTTGCTTTGATGATCTTTGTGTTTGCTGAGTGAACGGAGCTGCTGCCTTGTGAGCTGAGGTTTTCCATACCGTCTGGTAACACGAAAGTGACAGTTTTATATACTATACTTAGATACAGGGATACAGGGATACATTGTTACAAACAGGCATTTTCTGACGGTTAGCAAAGTATACTTTTTAAGCTTTTTAAGCAGATTTGTGCTTTGGCCTCAGTCTGCAGAGTTAGACTGGCTTCTTCTCCTTTACCTTACAAACAACAACATGGCGTCTTTTGATGCAATAGCAGAAGGACACGTTATATAAACAGTGACATGAATGTTTTTGAAAACTAGCATGTAGGGATGTAGAACCTGGTGAAGGATCTAAAACAGTTCCACCCTCGCGGTGTTCTTTTGCTATCAAGCGTTTGCTTCTGCCTGTAGGAGTGTATTGCCAGTGGAGGTGTGTGCCATGCTGCTTTATGTCAGCATAAAACAGGCTTTAGTGCTGTGGTGGTAGAGGCATTACAGAGTGTCAACAAAACAAGGAAGCATCCCTGCATGAAGATTTCATACGTTCACCGGCAGGTAAGGTAGGACTGAATATCTCAGAGGAACACCGTGTCACACAAGATTTTCTCAGACCTGATTTTTGGGAACAGTGACAGCACCAATGTGCAAAATGCAATGGTACATTTTCTGTGACTGAACGTCAAATCTGTTCAGCCACTTAATTTTTGATTTCACAGCCCAACTTTGTACGCTGCCTTTTTTTTCTCAGTACCATTTTCTCCAATTGTCTGTGTTTTCTAACCGTTTCTCTTCCATTTGGCAGCAGGTAGTAACTGAGGGGCATCAATCTTCCTGCGCTGACTATTAGCTCTCCAAAGGAATGACTATTCCGAGTGGTGTTTTCCCCTCCATCTCTCAGGAGTGGTAGACAAAGGAAAATAGAGAGGTGGAAAATTGAGGGGAAATTAAGAGAGAGGAGAGACGAGATAAATGTGGTAAAGAGGCGATGGGTGAGGATGAGAGGGATAGGGTGGTGAGAAAAAGGAGAGGTGGTTGATTGGAGCGTCGATAGCCGGTGGTCGGAGACAAAGACCTGAACACGTGGCTGCACCATTCTCAGAATGACACTGTGTTTATGTACAGAGAGGGAGAGTCATCCACGCAGCTTACACACGTCGTTGTTCTTGCGTGCTGCTGCACACCGAGGAGACCATTCATCACCACAAACGTTAATATCTCCAAATTATCGTGGAGCTTTGCCGTACTTCGTCCTCGTCGTCTAAATTGCTGAATAAGTTCCGCCATTTCCAAACGATGCATCAACGCCAGCGTGGAGCTGCGGTCTGCTTTATATAGCCTGTCAAAATGAACACGTTAAAGGCCTTCATTAGTTTGTGAAAATAATCTGATTACATTTTTAAACACATTTTAATGTGACACACACTACATCCAAGAATTCCACCATCCATCCATTTATTGTCGCTTTAATTCGCAGTCGATAAACACATTATTGTAGCTGTTTGCAGTAAATATACAAATGTGTGTTTCATATCCATGCAAAATACATATATTTATATGGATATGTGTGTGTGTTTATGCAGGTGTGAAATAATTTCAAAATCGGCCCTGTTGTGAATCATGTCAACATTACGACTTATTTGTTATTACAAAAATACCGCCTCCGAACCCCAACAGGGGTAAAACTGGGCTTAATTTCCACCGTGTTGTTTTTAATATCAGGTCTTTTCTATCTGGGTTGGCTGTAGGTATTGTGGTGTTAGTATTAGTTCCAAGCTATAAATCCAGCTCCTCTAGCCTCAGTGAGTACAGTGTCTTCAAACACAGATAGAGGAAGTCAGAAAAGTAGCTTTCTTTTGGTGTTTTGTTTGAGGGGTATTTGTTATTGGTGTTGATTACAACAAAGTCATTTTAGTCCAGAGTAATGAAGTTTAGAGGAGAAGAAAGTAAGGGAGAAATAGAAGTTCAGCACCGTCCAGGTACGGGTGTTTGTTTCAGCAGCTCATTAGTAGAGCGGCAACAGAATAATTATTTCTTTTTTTTTTTTAATCCACCTATGGGAGAGTTGTAAAGGCAAGAAATGAGAGCAATAAAAAGATGTAAAAGGAAGAAATAAAACAAGAAGGAAAGATTTAGACCGGGACAAGTTGCATAGACGGTCGGTGAGAGAGTGAACAATGGCGTTGAGGAGGAGAGAGAGACTTAAAGAGATTTGACTCATTAAAAAGAGAGGAGCACAACAAGGGGAGATGGCATTAATCAGACTTCTGCACTAATGAGGCATTTACTCATTACACTGAAATAGAGAGAGGCCGAGGAAGAAATGAGTGAAGAAAAAGAGGGTGTGGGCGGGTGTGGAGACAGTGAATGAGGGTCGCAGTAGACCTTAATGAAGTAGAACAGAGGGAAAATTAAGTGACAAAATTCAGCGTAGTGACAGATTGATGGATGGATGCGGTGGGAGGAGTCAGATACAGTAGTGTAAAGCTGTGTGCGTCTCTGAAGGCTCATCTAGAGCTGGTTTAAAAGGAGCATCAACTAAAAGCTTGGCCTTTGTGAGGAAAGATGAGTCATTCATAATCACCACGTGCTGACCATGTTTATAATTTGTCTGTCAGTTTATAACATTTGTCATGACATTCTCTAAACTGCTGCACTATTTTTAAAATCATAACTAAATGTGCTTTTTATGCAGTCTACCAAAGTAAAAAAATCTGTCATTATATCTTCTGAATAGTTGGCATTTATATCTAGCCCAGCCTAGCAGGAGGCTGATGGGGAAAAATTAATGTAATTTCCTAAAAGTGATAGAGTGTTTTTTGCAATAATCCAAAAGCCTTAAAACGTAAGAAGATAAGAAGCGGTTCATTTCTACTTTAAGGAAAGCCTTCTGACAGCTCAGTGTGTGTGTGTGTCAGGGTGGATTGTGTGGATGTCAAATGAATATTCCGTGGCTCTTCTTGCTAAATTGAGTTGTTAATATGTGCATTAATTAAACCACGATGACAGCCATTTCTGATTTATTGTGTAACTTTCAGGCTCCCAAAATAAAAAGTCAACACAGTGGAACTGCAGGGACGTTTGCTGGCGTGATGTCTAATTTCCACCCTGGGGGAAAAGATAATTGTTTGTTTAATCTGCAAAACAATAAAAGATTAAGTAAAAGTTGAAACATGCAAAAGGTGAAGAGTTTGCCATGAACACAGTTTGAATTCTTCAGTTGATGAGATGATTGCTGTGTCACAATATTTGTGTTTTATATAAATCTAAACCTGTCGCTCCAGAAAAGCATTTTTTCACAATAACAAACAATAAATGTCAATTTTAGGACCATTCAATTCAGTCCAATTAGACATTAGAATTATGAGAATTGTGATACACAATCCGCAAAACACACCCACATCGCTAACTGAAACATAGGTCTTTTCTTTGCTTTGCTGCTCATAGTCACATTCTGTAATTGTCATTCTTTGCTTTGTTGCTCATAGTCACATTCTGTAATTGTCATGAACTCGTTACGTTGTCTCTTCGTTTTTTTTTTAGTTTTATGACATTCTGCTGAATGAGAAAAACCCGGGGACCAGATTATAAGTGTGCGGTCTCAAAGCCCCAACAGTGACAGTTTACTCACTGACCCTTCCATGACACCACAACACTAAAGCCCATTCCTCACTGGCTGGAGGTGTTGTACAAGAGTCGTCGTTGCATGAAGGAATCCAAGCCTCCTCCACTCCTTCACTCTTTCTCCTCCTCTCACTGCCAGACCACCTCCACTCTCATTACAGCAGTCTACACGTGTGTAATTGAGGTCCCATCTGAGTAATCCCACATCATTAGGATCATACATCTGAGATCTAATTTTAGTCCTGGCCATGACTTCTCCTCCTCCTCCTTTTGCAAACACAGGAGTTATACTTAAAAATTGGTTCAATTCCTGTCCTGACGCGGAGCCTTATTTTCTGCCTTCCTGTCACTGAACTGGCTCCTCTGTCTCACCAGGACACCGACCTCGTGCTGACTTTCAACCTGTCCATGCATCGCTCCTGGTGGATGGAGAACGGCCCCGGGTGCAAGGTGACACCCATCACCCCTCCCCCCTCCTGGGCACCTGAGGACCACAGATATATATCCATATCTGGCTGTCTGCTGGATTTCCAGTACATAGAGGTGGCTCACTCTTCACTGCAGATACTCCTGGCTGTAAGTACTCGGCCTTAATAAGTACTTTCAAGTATACACTGTGGACCTCTTAGGAGTTGAATGAGGGTCTAATGTTTAAAAATGTGTGTGTTGCTGACGGCAGTGCAATCATATGAACAGAAGTTGTTTGTTTGTTGTTGTTTTTGTTTTTTGTGGTAAAATGGTGTAAGATTTATTTTCTGACAGCTAAACCGCCTACAGTGTCCCAACAGGACAGTCGCCGTAAAGACAACAGCAGATTGGTGTTGTTGATGCACACAAAAGTAGAAGTAAATCAGTAAAAGTACTATTGATTTCTTTCTTCTTTTTTTTTTTTTTTTGGATGTGAAACAAGGTTCAGAACACTGGGATTTAATTGCTCCTGAAAGATTAAACCGTTTTTGCAACTGTCACTGACACTAAATGCCAACCAGGATAGTTATATGAATGAATTCTATTATAATCCCATATTCTAAGCAGTATTTATTTGTCTCCACCAGTCGAAAAAGAAGCATGTTTACTGGAAAACTGTGTAGACTGAATCTGGAATCATCAGCGAGGAGTGTGTGTTTCAGTCTAAATCCCCTTAAGGATTAAACAGATCTGCAGAGAGGAAATGATGGAATTGTATAATCACCTTATAATTGGGTTGGCATCATGATAGTGATGCACAGATAATTAATATTTTTATTTACTTTAGCAGTTTCTGAGGATCTTCCTGAGCTCCAAGGGCAGTAGTTCTATTTCAGTCCTCACTATACAGTATATAAGCATAGTACAGAAGGTGAATCTTGGAAAAAACAAATATTACACCCACTGACTCACACACTCGTATCCACAATAAAAAAAAAAAAAAGCATTTTATTGTGCAAACGTTACGACACGTAGCCTCTAATCTGCTCTGATGTTCTAGGAATAAATAAATAAATATAGAATATTTCTCAAAGTCCGCTGTAAACAACAGTCGCTGAACCAAAAGCTACGTACAAATGGCTACTGCAATGTTTGTTTTCATGCACATTAAAAAATAATACATATTTAAACAAAACTTAAGTCGTTCTAGGGGAAAAACCTATATATGTTTTTCAGTAAGATCTGTAAGTGGGTACAGGTGTCTGTAGGGCAGATGAACTTCTCTACATTATCAATACAAGGGGTGGTGTTTGGGGGGTGCCAATCCTTAGGCTTCTGCGCTGGGAGGACATGGAGGACACAAAGCCAACCAATGCTTGCAGCGCTAACCCTCACATTTCTTTGTCGATGACAGAAAGACAGACAGTCTTGGCTAAAAATCATTGTGTTCTGCCCTGTATGGCCTGGCTCCTAAAAAGGAGCATTTTCAAAACTGTTTTTCAGAGTAGAGGTGTTGTGATATAACATGGCAAAGTTCCATTTTATGTTTAAATTTGCTTTTTGAATTTTGAATATACAGCCCTGTCCTGATTGTCGTCTTATCGCCTGGTCTTCTCGCACCGTCCCGGTGTCTCTCTGTCTGTCCACGGTGGTACTTGTAGTGTGGCTCGGTGCCATGCCACCACACAGCTCTACCACTGCTGTCTCACTGTAATTGGTGTGTGGAAACACTGTCATGAGCACACTTCCACAGTTGGACTGGTCCGGTGAATGGCTGGCCAGTCGGCTGCTCCACTGTAATTGGTGGAAATACTGTCAGGGAGCTTAATAACACATGGTCTAAGTGGTGGACAGGCGGACTAAGTGGGGTTTAGGGTTTGGGTTGGTTTGTGCTGTAAAATAACTAGTTGTGTCTTGTTACCCATCACGCACTTAGTTATACGGTAGCTGCAGTAAATAATGAGTAGATAGGAAACAGGTATGACACTCGACAGTAGTGTGTGTGTGTGAGTGAGTGAGTGAGTGGAGCTGTGCACAAAACTGCCTTTGAGTGGAAAGAATGGGAGAAAAAACAAAATTTCATTTAAGTTCATTATAGATTTAGAACAGTTGCTGGGACATTTACAGCTGTGAAGATAT